CTGGCACCTCCCTAACCTAAGTGTGGAGCACTCATACTTAACCACTAAGTACGCTAGTAAAACTTACTCATGCTGAAAGTTAAATAAGCGCAAAATAGCTTCCTAAACAGTTTAGTTTGTTAAAATAATAACCAATACAGCTTGTCATCATTCCTTGGCGAGACAGAAGATTGCTTTAACTTTCACTTTTGTGTAGGACTTCGTTCCAAAAAGGAAAAAAAATACAAGACCGGTCACCTCCTTTTCCATCCCACCTGCACTTTCCAGCCGTCTATTTCTTATGGGACTGCTGGGAAAGAGGCCACACCTTCCTCTCATCATGGAATGCAGTATGCGATTTCGTGGAACGGGTAGGCTCGCATCACATCCGTAAGGCTTGTCCAGTCGACATTTGCTGATATGCGAGGGGACAATATTCGGAATGACGCATATCGAAGCATTAAAATACTTCTATGTAAACAATCGTTTGGACTTCAAGTTCTGTACGCTTTGTAGAGAGCTACCGCGGCAAACTAAACCGAAAAGTACGAGATGTTTATGGTCACCCAATACATTGAAAGGTCTTGACTCCTCTCATGTACCTTTTTATTTTACTTAGATGCTGTTACTCGATTCTGAGGAAGCAACTTAAACTTACTGGTTTATCCAGAACGGAGGAGCAGAAATGTCAATTGGGGGACCGCGCTTGTTCAGTTTTTCTTATTTGTCGCGCTTCTAATTGTACACAAATGACAGGTAAGCAGGCTATCCCACAGGAAGCCATTATTGACAGCAATGTAGGGGCAACGAGCGGTATTTGGTGGTTCAGGTAGTAATCCACGGCGACTCAAATTGGTCCACTCAACAATAGAGCCAATAATAATTTAGATAGGGGTGAAAAAAATAGGAAACAAGGAGAAAGGATGGCAAATTAACACAAAGATGAATTGTAACTGCTGTTGGTCACTTTTCAATTGCTTTGCCTGGAATAGGTAGCACTCATTTTACTACTAAAAAAAGTGATAGAAGACGTTATTGCCTCCAAGTGATTAATTCAAGTAGTCCATCCTAGAATATTTAGTGTAAAGTTAAGGGAATTTTGTAATTGCTTTTCTGTTGCCACATTTGATTCCTACAACCTATCCATCTTTGTTTATTAACAGAATGATGATTTTGTCGTTTGTTCATATCAGTCTCCCTCTGCTTGGTCTCCTCATTAACTGCATGGAGTTCTGTCCACGCCGTCTGTCGTATTAGACGCCCCACCCTTCCATATACTCAATGATTTGTTCCTCTCATTCCTACCTTCCTCACAACATCCTCTGGGATAATTCTGACGCAGATTTTCCTTACTACCATTTGACATCTTTGCTGTTAGAGGGGAACCCACTGCAACAAACCGGACGTTTTGTTGTTCTATGGCATCGGTTGGCATTGGTTTTGTTACCAATTTAACTGCCGGTTAACAACCAAAAGAAGTGCGGCTGTCGTCCTCAGACTGTGAACACGATACAGCTACCACTGAAGGTGAGATGCCAATAGCCAGTTGTTTCTTTATCAAAATTATCAGTACCCAAGCCCATTTTACAGGTTCTGTAACTATGGTTAGCTATCAATCCACCTACCTACAGGCACACCTACCTACCTATTATCTATCCCGCCATTTATCTAGCCATTTTTCAAGCTAGCTTTTCTTACCTCCAGTTCATCTTCATGAAACGTGTGCTTTCACTAGTTTTTCCCATGAAGACTGAAGCCGCACCACAAGTCATCAAAGAAAGAAGCCGTGGCGGTGATAGCATAAAGGTGGAATTGGCTTTAGGTTACTGAAGCCAAAGTAATCTGTGGTAGAGTTCCAGATGTTTGACTTATACTGCTACTGTGATTTTTTAAAGAGGCTAAGATTTTTAGATTACTTTTTAATGAACTCCACTTCAATTTTCGGAATATGCTTCGAATTCTTGACGATTTCTGCAAGTTTTGGGTGACCTCTCAGTTCTTTCGTAAACACTCATTAGGAAGAAATTCTTTTTACCTCGTCGTGTTTTGGGCATAATTCACTGCGATGACTTCTTCTAACTTTTAGAGACTTGTGAAATACATCTAAATATTTGCATAAAGCATAGGCTTATGTTGGTCTGTCGGTGCTGCTAGGTACGATAGATTACGGTACTCGCCCGAAATGGGATTCCAGCTTGTCTGCAGCAAAATTCAAATTTTACCTAGGTTCCACTGCTTTAGAAGCCTCTACCGCAGAGAATTTGAAGGAGGTACAGTATGAGGCAATAGAAAGTGTCATAAAGAATTAAATAGCTCAAAAATTTTGGAATCATACGATTTAGGTGCATCATATACAGGAAGACCCTTGTGATCTTGGTAGTAAGGAAAAAGTATGCATCACTTTAAAAAATTGACAAGAGTATTTTTAGTAGGCACTGCTGAAAGTGCATTAGTCCATTGGGTTTTTTTGTCGGATTTGCGCTTCTTCAAGCTGTGGCAGGTGGAGTTTGTTCCCCAGTGGGATTTTTCGTGCTACATAAAGAATGCCAGAGTTTTCTGCTACCATATTTACGGATTTATTCCTCTACCTTCACATAAAGGCGAAGAATACTTCCAGCTTCAAATTCCTAACCAAATTTGCGTTTTGACTGGCAGTGACAGTTGTGAGGGTTGTTTAGCTACCTTAGTCAGACGAACACCACCTATCACATCGGAGTCCGACATATCGCCGAAAAAGTTTGAAAACACAAATTCGGAAGAACCAAGAAACTAGTGTGAGGATTGTCCACGCTAAACCGAGTTTTTCAAACTTGAAACAGATAAGAAAAATTCGGGGAATAGGACTGGGCTCATTTTCCCCCATATTTCCTTTACTAAGCTAGTTCTCTTATCGCAGTAGCATTCAATTAGTTCGCGGAAGGCATTGGCACAGAACAATGAGTTGGTTTGGCTAGACTAATCCAAAATTTTTCGTGAAGGATAGTCTTTTGTGTAATTTCGTCACAGGACAGTTAATGATGCATCAGGCGTCTGGGATGTGGCAGATGTTCCACGTGCTGACTGGGTAATCTTTCGCAGGATGGACTGACGAGGCTAAAAGTCGGGATTAGAACCATCAGCACAGCGATTGTCCACTTTACAATGTTTATTTCTTTCTATTCTGAACTCAAAACCGTTCATGCCTCTCATAGCTCAGCACCATATCACGGTACTGTGCCTTAAATCTTCTGTTGGCATCCCAGAGTTATGTTTTTTTATGCCTTTGTTGGCAAGAAACCTCATTCATCATCCTCCATTTTCCCACCCACCCATTAACATTTTTGCCTGTCTGCCATCTTCATTGGCGGTACACAGACTAACCCACAACTTGTGCGCCGCTCATTGATAAAGCTCGTAGGTCGCGGTTGTTACATTTATACACGAACATCCGTCACGAGGTATACCCGTGAAGTTAAGGTCCGTTTGGACCTAAATATGATAAGCAAAATGAGCAGCACAAGCCTAGAAAAACTTGCCTAGTGATTCAGACCATACCTACAGACTCTCAGCCTTTTGTTCCGCTAGTAATAAATCTTCTTCTATACTTATGTGACTTACCACGACTTCGGGTAAGACATGGAGCTATACATTAACGCCAGCAGTAAACAAACCCAATTCAGGCTGTGAACAGTCCTAGTTACCATATCTATGCCTGCCGAAGGAAGGCATCTTTTAAGAATGGCCAAATCTGCGGAGATTTACCCCATCTTCAGTTCTCAAATAACATTCTCTAAATGAGATACCTCGTTGTGCAGTCCGCTTTGCTTGAGACGCGACAGTCGGAATTTCCCAAAAAAATTGTCCGCCCTCAAATAAGCATTCTTTATAACATTCTCAATTCAGACCCGCGATTGGTTACTTTTCCACTTAGAGTCCGTATAGCTTAAGCAGAAAAATCGTCACAAAGAGCGCCGTAGAGGCCAATTAAGAGAAGAGGGAGGCAGTGTAGTTAACTCGTAAGCAGTACTTTGATTTATTCCAAAAAAGCTTTTATGCAGTAACCATTGCGCCTATGCACTGCCCGAGTGAACAGGAAAGGAAAAACTCCCAGCAAAAGCGTAGTCTGTTTTGAAGCCCTTCCCACACCATGCCGGAGACACGGCGCCTCTATGCAAATTTGGGCGTGGTTAAATTATGCGTCAGTCGTTAATTGGGATCACTTGGCCTTTGGTCTCCATTGCGTTGACTAGAATGCTGGTCGCGGCAAAACGCCCACCATCGCAGTCTGCGGGAGATGCGGCGCAACAGTCGGTGCGTGGATATGTGATGGGCACACACCCGGGTTTTGTAATGAGACCAATAGATTTAAAGTTTCCCTCAAGCACGTATACCAGGAGAAAATCCACCGTGGGAGTCTAATGCGATACCAACTAGCTTCTTCCCTTGGAATGATGTCAAACGTGAAAATGGAGCTATGGCAACATCTTAAAGCCTTTTCAAAAATCCTTGAAGCTGTTCTAAGTACCTTTTATCAAAATTCTGGACCTCACTGTGATTTTTCTTGGTGTAAATTTAGCATATTAAATTAATGTGTAGTTTTCGGTGGCGATTTTTACTTAATGAAGTGTTTGTCACCGAATGGCACACCAGAGGACTAGCGTTTTCATTAGTCAACTTTGCTGTTTTCGAATATGGAATTTCTTTTGCAATTTGTTTTCTTCAAATCGAATGGGTGACCAAAAATAACATTCTTTCCGCAGAGTTTGCCTACTATTCCCGTGATTAAAATAAATAGTGTGATCCTCTGAATACTATTAACATTTGGAAGATGTTCCCGTGGATCTTCCTTTACACGTTTGTATGATGTGTTCAAGCGAATTTAAACGAGATATAAGTGTTACAATAGGATTAAGAAAGAAATCTCCTATTGGAATCTTAAGTCGAACACTTGAAAAGGCAGCCACTTGTCTGATCTACACCTCATTGAACATCATGCTCCTGATCCTCTGTTGGACTGATGTTCCAAGCAGGAAGTCTTTTTTTTCCGGCTTATTGGAAAGATGTGTCCCAGTATTTTCAAATTCCCATTTCACTTTATGGTCATAACATTTTAGCAGGTTTTTAAGTGGGTCATAAACTCACACCGTCTTCAAGTGGGTTGGGCCTGGGATCAATGTAAGCGCCAGGCAAGGAACAGGATGCAAAACACCTAGAGTAATAAGTTTTCTGTCTGGCAGACGACTTATTTGTTGAGAGCCTGTCTTGACTGATATGAACATTACCGAGGGAACTGATTATGATTATAAAGTAGATAACGTCAAGGTAGTATTAAGACGTTAAAATAGCATCCTCTGAATAGAATTCCACAAGTCTTTCCATCAAATTATAAAATACAGATTTTTTGTGCTTTCTACTTTACTACTTATGTAATTGAAAAAAAGACACTATATCGCCTAATTTGGGATGCTTTTTTACCCTAGTGTGAGGAATGGCATGCAGACTGCAAAACTGGCCTTTGGGTAAATCATTCCTCCATCACCTCCATTGCAGTCCCATCAAACACTTTTGCTCC